TTCCTTCAGAGGTTCAAAACAGTCGGAAACAAATGTTTTGTACCTCGCCCGAGAAAGAATTCGTCAAAATTGCTCAAAATTGTTTGAGCTTTGACTTGAAAAATAAATTCCAAGACAGAAAATTTCCTGATCTTTTTCAACTTAGAGCGAATGTGATTAGGTATGAACGATTGATAAGAAAAGAGAACAAATGAAGAACTCTAGTAAATGAACTTATTATAGAGACCCAAATTTTGACGTTCATACTATTAACAACGAATATTACGATCAAACTGAAGTATATTTGGCCGAATTAATCAAGAGAGATACATATACCTGTCCTATAATGGCCAAACCCAGAGCGTTGGGCAAGAATGAGCCTATAAAAGATGAAAACAAAAAAACGAGAATGTTTTCATTTAATGTGACCAAAGTTGACCTTATATTTGATAAACTGTATAAGGATAAGCAGATAAAATTGAGCGATAAGCATAAACTGCCAGACCCTGAGCAATTTAATGGTAAAAAATATTGTAAATGGCATAATACATGGTCACATATGACTAATAATTTCTTGGTCTTTCGTCATGTGTTAAAGGATACTATCGAAACAGGGCAAATCACGTTCGAAGATAAGAAGAAAATGGCAGTGGATGAAAATCCTTTCCCACAGCTACTTGGGGTGAACATGGTAACGGCTGATTTCAAAAATAAGTTACCAAAATTCAAATTGGTTATAGACGACAGAGAAAAAGATTCTGGGCCACATCCCAGTGTTTTTGAACGTATCATAGTGAAAGAGCCTAGAGAAGACGAAGGTGTCATGTGTGCAAGATGTAAAGGAGAAGTGAGTGCAAACACAGAGAGACCAGGAATATGGAAACACCACCATCGCCGTGATTTTTGGAAGGCGAGATACATCATTTTATAGGACCACCTTTTGAGAGGCAGTTCAGGCCAATAAATAATGGAAGGACATTCGGGCTGCAACCTAGTCAACCAAATGTATGACATTCATTCCAGTATAATGTAGGAATGGTGATACCTTTCAATGAGATGACTAGAACTCAACAAAGGTGTTTTCATCGGAATTATGGATGAATGATGAGGCAACACCAAGGATTGCCACGTCCTTATGTGCCTAAACTACTCGAAGTGGCGAATCAGAATGTTCTCGAAGATAGTAAAGAGACTGTAGAGGCAAATCAATAGAAGAGTTACCAGAAAGTTCTTCGGGGATATCAAAGTTTGAGCGATAGAAAAAAGATGAGGAAGATCCAGAGCAGCTCTTCACTATTCATTTCGGTACGTTAGCATTTATTAGCTAATGAATTCAAAAATAAAGAAGAAGAAGAAGAAGAAGAAGAAGAAGAAGAAGAAGAAGAAATGGAGGATAATGAAGGGAAAGCATGTGTGCTGAAATGAAAAAAAGGCCAAACATCTCGAGAGGTATATGATGAAGATGATAATGGTATGACGGACATCGAAGTGGAAAATGATTTGGAAGCAAAGAGAAGAAAGATGGGAGTGTTGCGGAATACGTTATTGAAATTGCTACATCGGGAAGGTGTTCGCGATCTGGATTTTTTGGGAGAACCATCTGGGCATTCTTTTGATTACTATATGTTATACAGGACACCCAAAAGGAAGAAGGGAGTGCCTTGTTCTGAGAAGTATGGGTCACCTCCAAGAATATTACCTTCCCCTATAGGATAGGTGATCGAAGAAGAAGCATTAGAAGAAGGTAGAAAGGAAATCCAAAAAACAAAAGCTCAATGCGAAATATTGTATATTGATTTATCACAAGGAAATAATTCAACAAAAGACAAACAGGAAGTTGAAATAGATGCAGTTGAAAATGTCATCTTCAAGGGATCAGTCATGAAATTAACTAAACACTTGAGGCCATTGTACGAGAAGGTCTTAGTCAATGGTATACTTGTGGCGAAAGTGCTCATCGATAATGGAGCAGCCATAAATACCATCCCGTCCAGGATGATGAGAAAATTTGCAAAGGCAGAAAGCGATATGATCCCAATGGGAGCTATCCTCACAAGCTTTAACGGAGTAGTAACTTCAGCTAAAGGGGTAATGCCACTGAACATAACGATGAGGACGACTACTAGGACCACAGTCTTCTTTGTAATAGATGGCCATACTAGTTACAATGTGCTGCTAGGAGGAGATTGGATTCATGGGAACTATTGCATACCTTCATCGCTCCAGCAATACCTGGTTTTATGAAATGACAAGGGCGAATCAAAAGTGGTCTAGGCCAACCATAGGCCCTTTGTCGCAAAAGTAAATTTAGTGGAAAGATTCATGTACGAAGGAAATTATGGACCTATCAGGGTGGTTCAAGATGGAAAAAAGACTCAGATTGTCACACAGAGTAAAGAGCCATTTTCAGTAGATGCATTTACTAAAATTTTTAGTCAAATGAGGCTAAACATAGTGGCAAAAAGAAAATATAAGGAGTTGCAAGCAACAAGCACAAATGGTAGATATTCAGGCCTTTAAAGCCAAGTTAATGGCTTTCAATAAAGAATGTAAAGACAAGACGAGAGAAGAAACAACATTGAAGATGTTGGGAGACAAATTAGCAGTGTTAGAGTTGGAGCAGAATATTGGCCGAGAAGTCAACAAGGTGGATTGTTTAGAAGAGGAAGTGCTTACAAGGAACTTGGATGATGAAGTAATGAGAATCACAAAGCCTAGGCACGCTCAAGCACAAGACCCATTGGTTAGGGTGAATATTTGCGAAAAAGGGGAAGATCGTCCAACATTTGTCAGCCAGATGTTTAGTCAAGAGGTTAGTAATAAATTAGTTGCTTTATTAAAAGAGTATAAGTATTGTTTTGCTTGAGAATATGAATATATGCATGATTTAGATAAAATTTGATAGAACATAGATTACCAACTAAACTAAATTTTAAACCTTATAAGAAACCTCCTGGCATTTTGCTCCTAATGTACTTTCTGAAGTAAAGAAAGAAATTGATCGATTGTTAAAAACGGGTTTTATTAGGACAGCCATATATATTGAGTGGTTGTCTAATATCGTGCCAGTATTAAAAAAGAATTATAAGTTAAGGGTGTGCATAGAGTGTAGAAACCTAAACTTTTGTCGAATGGTTGTCTAATATCGTGTCAGTGGTAAAAAAGAACGGTAAGTTAAGGGTGTGTGTTTATTTTAGAAATTTAAACTTAGTAACGCCCAAAGGCGAATATCCAATGCCTACGGTAGACTCTTTAGTAGATTCAACTACCGGATATGTAATGTATTCTTTTATGAATGGATATTCAGGATATAACCAAATTTACATAGTTGAAGAAGATATACACAAAATTGCCTTTAGATGCCCTAGGGCTTTAGGATTCTTTGAATGGGTAGTTATGCCTTTCGGCCTGGAAAATGCAGGGGCAACTTTTCAAAGGGCGATGAACTTGATTTTTCATGATATGATAGGCAAGTTCGTTGAATTGTATGTGGACGATATAGTAGTCAAATCTATTAAAGAAGAAGACCATTTTAAACAACTAAAACGCTCATTTGAGCGAATGAAGCAATACAAACTAAAATTAAATCCTTTGAAATGTGCATTTGGTGTTAATGCAAGAAATTTTCTTGATTTTTCAGTGCACAAAAGAGGGATTGAACTTGATAAGAATAAAGTAAAGGCCATTTTAGATGTCAAACCACCTAACAAAAAAACGAATTACAAAGATTTTTAGGTCAAATAAACTTTTAAAGACGCTTTATCTCTCATTCTGTAAGGCGAACAAAAGTTTTTTCGCCTCTTTTAAAGTTGAAAAATTTGGACGAATTCGTCTGAAATGAAGAGTATCAAAAAGTTTTTGAAAGCCTGAAGACATATTTATCAAGTCCATAGTATTGGTGTCACCAATCTAAAGATGGTCAATGAAAGTATACATATCGTTTGAACAAAAATCGGTAGCTAGAATGGTTGCTTAAGAAGACAAATTTGATGAAGAAACGACGATTTACTATTTGAGTAGACGGTTGACAAAATGTAAATGTAATTATTCTGTTATTGAAAAATTATATCTTACTTTATATTTCACATGTACAAAACTAAGGGTTTACTTGCGGCCTGTGACAGTTTATTTAATTTCTAAAGTAAATTTAATTAAGTATATGTTTTCTCGCCCTATTTTACACTAAATGATAGACCTTTGAACTTTAGCACTGTCAAAATTCGAAATACAATATATACCCCAAAAGGCAGTCAAAAATCAAGCATTTGCTAATTTTTGGCCGATTATCCATGCCTTGACATGCCTAAAGAAATTGAATTAGAGGTTGATTCGTTTGAAATAAAACCTTGGATTTTATACTTTGACGAATCAAGGACTTCTAGAGGTACTGAGGTAGGAATAGCGTTAATAAATCATTTAGGGATTTGTTACAAATTCGCTTTCACTTTGGATAGAATGTGTACCAATAACCAAGCTGAATACGAAGCATTGATCATGGGTTTAGAGCTGTTAGTAGATATGAGAATTAAGAATATGATTATTATGGGCGGTTCTCAATTGGTAATTCACCAATTAATTGGTGATTTAAAATGTCGAAGTGATTTCGTCATAAGTCAATATGAAATCACCAAAGAGTTGTTGGAAGAATTTGACCAAGTGGAGCTTCA